ATTAGCATATTTGATTTTATTTTTATCATCTTATTTTTTCTATATTAAAAATACTTTCTTTATATTTTTCTTTGAATTTTGCTAGTTAATTGATTTGTTTTTACTCTGTTGATGTTTTTACTGATGTGAAAGTTATAGACCCATAAGCATTTGTATCTAAATGTTTAGAAAACATAATAGTAGTTTTGCTTCTCCATTAACATCTTGAACTTGTACTTCAGAAAAACAAAAAAGTGCAATCTAATTTCACTTCTGTCTTCTTCCAAGCCTTAATCCCTAAACTGATGAGAAAACCTGCAAATCCATACTACAGTTGATTTGTTTCTATTTCTTTTGTTATTGAGAATTTTGTTGTCTTTGCTTTTAAGATAATTTATTTGCATTTCTACCTGCTATATTTCCTTACTACATTTTTATTATTTATGTTTTGAGTTTGATTTTGTTTACCACTTTTATGAAGCATCTTTCTTATTCCTACATCTTTATTTTGCTTCATTGCTGTTGACTTGAACATTGCTTTGAATAATTGTTTTTAAGAAAGGTACACGGCTGTCCTGCTTTGAGTTGCTGCATGTTGAAGTATCTGTCCGTTCCTCAGATATGAGCAGTACTTTTCCCAGATTCAGGCTTATTGACTCATGGTCCTTACCCTGCAATCTGCACTAACTGTTTGAAGCTACATTTACATAACACAATCTTTTTTTTTATTATTGTTGGTCGTTCAAAACATTACACAGTTCTTAATACATCATATTTCACAGTTTGATTCAAGCGGGTTATGAACTCCCAACTTTACCCCGTATAACACAATCTTTTTAACAAGAACTGCAAAGCTAAATTATATATATATATTTAGAATAGTTTTGGGGGACACTGAAAGAGATTGGAGGAACTAAAGTGACCCCAACTCATCCCCTTGTGTCTTCACGATCCTGTGAGGTATGGTTCCATATGGTCAATTTTGTCAGGCAAGTTTAGATTTATTATAGCATTTCATTGCTACAAGAGATGCAATAGACTGTGTGGGATCAAAAGAGGCTTATAGTAAGAGAATGGTAGCCTTGGGGGAGAATTTATCTTTTAGCCATGTGGTTCCCCATCCACATCATCCTTAGCTCTCCAAACCAGAGTGGAGGTGGTAGATACAGTTGAACCTTGGAAGATTATAATAATTATCCCTATATTTCAAGTTAATCTAACAGCATTCATCCATGGATGATGGGCCATGCCTCAGTTCTACTCAGAATTTATTCTCTCCATTCTCCTGTCTTGGGCACAGGATATGAACGCTCTCTTGGGACTTACTCTACTTGGGGTGGAATTTGGATCCTATGTTAAAAGCTTTAGCAGGTCAAGAAATTGTTCCTGATGGCTACTTTGTCTCTAGCAGTAGGGTAAAATGTGGCATTAGTGGAAGCACCATCAAACAGGCTCTCCTTCCTTTGATTAATAGAAAGAACCTCATCTTTGGAGTGTATTTTTTTTTTGAAATATGTTTTACTAAGATACCTCCAAAGTGCATTTGCAACCCCAAGTAAACCTCCCATTAATGTTTATCCTCTATATTCACTTCTTGAAACTAAACATAATGAGTGTCTAGTTTCAAAAAGTGAATATAGAGGATAGGAGAATCTGTGTCCATCCCTGAAATCCTTGTTGCATTGCTATGGAAATGGAGGTCTGGACAAGGTTTGATGACTTGCCCAATATCCTGCAGTTTGTTAACCAAAGGGCTAGGGCTGGAATATAGTTCTCTTTTATCATTCTCTTCCATCTCCATGTGATATTTCTTTAGTTGATGACCCCAAATTTAATATTACCATAAATTTTCAATGATAATATTAATTAATTACTATTAATTTTACCATAATGTTGGAGTTGGAACTTCATGTGCAAGGGAAATGGTATCAAATATTCAAAGTTCAGCATTTTATTCATGTATATTTGAAATAGGAAGGTAAAAATCTCATGAAGTATAAATGTAAAAATTTTAGTTATTAGTAAAAAGCAATTTGTTATACAACTTCTGAATTTTTTTTCCTGTTAAATTCAAGGCCTTATAAAAGGCCTTGGGTTTTTGTTAAGTTCATAATATATGTTAGAGGAAATTTTATTAATTTGTTTTTATTAATTTTTATAGAGACAAGATTAAGCATATTGTGGATTTAATTGTATCATCCTTTCCATTCAGGTATGTGAGACTTTAGAAAAGGAAATGATTATGACATTTAATATCAACATTTTTAATTGGAAGCAAAATAGAACAAAATAAAAAGCATATTTCCCAGGCACACATGCCTGTAATCCCAGCGGCTCGGAAGGCCAACACTAGAAAATCAAAAGTCCAAGTCCAGCTTCAGCAACTTAGCAAGGGCCTAAGCAATTTAGTAAGACCCTGTCTCAAAATAAAAAATAAAAAGGACTGGAAATGTAGCTTGGTGGTAAATTGCCCCTGGGTTAAATACCTAGTATTAAAAAAAAAAAAAAGCATTTCTACTCTCAAAATGTTGCTAAATAGCCTGTATACCCACATTTTGAATATAATCTAATTTTTTTTTAAATTTTGGTTTCAGTTGGACACTAATATTTCCAAATAAAAGGGGGAGGGAAAAGGAGGGATTATGAACTGAAATCAATTTCTATGTGTGAATGAGCATATAGTGATGAACCCAACTACTATGTATAAATAAAGCTTTTAAAAAATGTTTTTCCCCAAAACAATGACATTTGCCTAAGTCTAACTAGTGGCAGATTCATTTTTTTTCCTACTAATAAAAGTAAAAATAATGAAGCATGCATTTTAAAATTCTGTAATTATAGGTAAAGTATTTTATTAAATACCTTATGCATCCAGAATTACTTCTTAATTCTGGAAATATTTTACTTAGGTTTCTTCTCTATGTAAGAAGAAGATTTACTACTATGATTCAAATATACACCAATGTGATTGCTTCCTTTTAAATTAATAATAGTTTCATGCAAAAAATATAGTCAAATATCAGGGAATGTTTTTAAAATATATAAGAAAAAAGCACTTAAGAGTTCATTTGTGAAAATACTTATGGATTTGAATTCCTTCTCATGTGCCCATCACTGTTCTAGGAGTGCCCATGAATGTGTAACAATGTATTTGTTGAAAATTTCACTAATTAAAAAAATCTTACTGGTCAAAATGGTCTTATAGAATTAAGTCATCATTACTATAGCAATATATGCATTCCCATGTTTATAGCAGGAAATGCATAATAGCCAAAATACACAACCAGACTAGGTGTCCATCAGCCAAGGTACAGAAAAAGCAAATGTGGTATATATACACAATGGAGTTTTTTCTAATATTTATTTTTTAGTTTTAGGTGAATACAATATTTTATTTTTATGTGGGGTGCTGAGGATCAAACCCAGTACCTTGCACAAGCTTAGGCGAGCATTGAGCCACAACCCCCCGGCCCCACAATGGAGTTTTATTCAGTCATAAATAAGAATGAAATTATGTTATTTGCAGGAAAATGGTTGGATTTTGAAAACATTAATTTAAGCAAAATAAGCCAAACTCAAGCTTAGAGTCACATGTTTTCTCTCTTATGTGGAAACTAGAGAAGAAAAAGGAAAAGAAAGTGTGGTAGGGGAGGGAGTGGGAGGTGGTCTCATGAAAATGGAGAGGAGACCAGGAGAGGAAAGGGACACAGTAAGGGCAGAGGGTTGGGAAAGGGGAAATGCTGGGGAATAGTATTGATCGAATTATATTATCATATCACATGCATGGGTGAATATGTAAAAATGAATCCCACTATTATTTATAATTATAATGCACTAATAAAAAAAGATGGGGAAAAGAAAATAGTCTTACATTAGTCTTGCCTTCACTTGGGTTTTATTACTAAATTCTTGAAAATTTTTTCAGATTAATGTTTTATTTATGATGAGAAATGATTGAAATTTTCAAAATTTAAGAAGAGTTTACACACACAGTTCCAGTTCTATCTTGGGTTAGTCTGATGTATCTGTTGTAGGAGAATATGATAACATACATTACAGTGATTTGATGGGAATTTTATTCACAAACAACTGTTCTTATTGGGTAAAAATGAGTGATTTTTTTTTTTTAAGATTCTAAGGCAATACAGTTCTTTCTCCCAATGAACAGTTTAATCCTACATATTAACATTTTGTTATCTAATCATTAGCTTTGATGTTGTCTATTTATGGAGGCAAATCCCCATTATCTTTATTATCTTTATTTGTTTTAGAATATTTGGAATTTTGCTGATCTTTGTGGATGTGTTTCTTGTTGTTAATGACATAATTTTGACTGAGCGCCATATACGTGTTTCTTTGGCATGTCGTATAAGTTCTTTATCTATTGCTTTATTTTTCGTCATGGATATTCTTCTTCAAATATATGTAGTAGGGTAAGTTTGATTTTTTTTTAAACTTAAAGCTATTTTGTACTGTTATAAGAAGCATTCGAAAATAATTATCAGGTTAACCCAACTAAATGTGCTTCTCTTTATCAAAATAATTCTCCTAAAAGGCATAGTTCACAGAGAAACAACAATCTAAACCTAGTTTACCATAGATGGGGCTTTAATAATGTTATTATTGCAATTGTCACTACAGTCTCCAACAATATATTCTAGATGGTCCCTTCAAAAGATAAAATTTAAAGGCATTTTTAAAAGAGACCAGGCACATGTACATGATGTACATGATATGTCTTCATGTACATTAAGAAGAGGAATGTGCATGTAAAGTATAAATATTAATACTTTCATTAAGAATTGAATTCCAAACAAGAGTTTATAGTATGTTAAATACAAAATAATAGATCATGAATAATCCCTGCATCAGCTAAAATGACAACTTTTGTTAAGGTGTAGAGGAGATCTGAGGCATACTCATCTCATTGGCAGGGACAACACAGCAGTTGTTGTTTTTCTTTTTTCTTTTCTTCTGTTTTTGCTGAGAAGGTAGGGGTAAGCCAAGGTTTGGGGCTGGACTGTCGTGGAAGTCATGAAGAAAGTTCCCCAGACTCACTTTTTCCAGAGCAACTCTGGCAGTTTGTCTCCTTTCCTGATGATTTTTTTTAATCCTCATGCCTTTGATCTAAAGACATTTGCTCAGTGCCAGGTTACTCAGAACCTGAAAGAGGGTGCCTCAAAATCAGAAGCTTTCCCTGGAGGACCAATGCTGAGGTTTAAAGGAGCCATTGTTGAAGAAGAAAATGTAGTAGTCAACCAGAGGCCATGTAAGGCCTTTGGGATTCATGGCCAGACAATGAATTCAAAATAGTGAAAGTTTCTTCTTCTCACAAGCTCCTCTCATATACTCCTCATTGTCCCAAATCCTCTGAGGCTGTGAGATATTCAGTTTCCACCGTCCAACTGCCCAGCATCCCATCTGCCTAGGAGAAAACAAAGCTTGCCTCTTGTTTAATAGTTTGCTTATATCTCTTATTTACTAAGCTTAAGTTGCCATATTGTTGCTTTTTCTCTGTGTGTGTGTGTGTGTGTGTGTCTAAACTGCTTGAAAACTTTCTATTAATATTTCCCTTGTTCTAGTGTAGACAATGCATTTTAAATAAACCATTGAAGTAGAATTCATACTGAAGATAAGTCAAAAACTTGTGCTCTTAAAATATTCCTATCCCTTCTTGGGGAGAATAAACATTTTATTTTATATTGCAGGAAACAACATTATTTTTCTGATGTATTTAATGTCTTCGATTCTGTCATTATTGGGGTGACTTTGGCATTTGACCTCTTGTACATGCTTTTTGACTTTCACAGCAATGTCTCCAGGTATGAAACATGTGACTTACCTCTAGAAGTTTTTCATTTCTTTCATTCTTTTATTTTTTTACATTTCAATGGCTTTAATTTTGTATCATCTTTTTTAACTTTGAGTGTTCTGCTTTTGTGCCAAATAAGCTGCTTGAAAATGAAATGTTAAGATAGATTTCCACATACTTTGAAACTATAAAAGATGGAGGCCAGTGAAAGGTATATACACTAAATACTTTTTGGTGAAAAAAGAAGATGGAGCACTCAAAGAGAGTGGGGACTTGGCCTCTTGTGCTTACTTTAACTTCACCACATTTTAAAATTCCCTCTAAATTCCATTTGTGCTTCAGCCATAAATTCCTTACACATGAAGTTCTATATATCTACCTGAATTTTTCCTACAACATAGAGTATATTGATTTAAGCATATGAAAATTTGAGTGACTCTAATCATATTCTCCAAAACATAGCACATTGAACAGGAAAACAGGAGGTGACACAGATACAACACAGAGGAAGAGTTTTGAAGTATACTTATAGTAGAAATGAAGAAAGGTGAGGCAAAGTTAGAACCATGAGAGATTAGGAAAGTAAATGTGTGTGAATAATAGTTCTTTCTCTCCCTCCCTTCCTCTCTTCCTCCTCCCTCTCCTTCCTCTTCCCACCCCCACCCCTCTCTTTCACTGTGGCAATGAAGAAGAGTAAATGTCTATAAGGATGTAGACATTGAAGGGGTTTCTTGGCTTATTCATTAATCAAATAGCTACCATCTTTTGGTAACCTAGCTTCTCATGGCTTCAATTCAGAACCCAACTAATGTGTTATATAATAGACTTTGGAGTTTGAAAATAATCAGAGTCAATATGATCCTCCAAATGCAACCTCAGCATCATGTGAGAGCTTGCTAGAAATGCAAGAAAAACACCTCATGTCTAACCCTAAACCCACCAAATTAGTTATTCTGGAACCTGCAACCTGGGGTCTAACAAGCTTTTCTAGGTGATGTTTGTTTATGTTTAAATTAGACACTACTAGTCAGCAGCTCTCTGCTATGGTATTTCCAGTGATAGGAGAAACACCACCCAATGCACTTGAGAAGTCTCTCAGCCTGAAGCCTGCCTGATGAGCATATACAGGCTGTAGTGAACCTCTGTTACTGAAGGGAGTAGTAACATAGGTGAACAAGAATCCTTAGTTTGATTTCATGGGGGAAAATGAAAAACATACTGATTTTTAAAAAAATATATTTTTAGTTATGAATGGACCTTTATTTTTTATTTATTTATAAGCAGTGCTGAGAACTGAACCCAGTGCCTCATACATGCTAGGTAAGTGCTCTATCACTGAGCCACAACCCCAGCCCCAACATGCTGGTCTTAAACCATAAAAGAAATCCAAAAATTCTAAGAATATTATTACTTCCTCTAGACCAGAATTTTTCAACCTTAGCATTATTAACATTTTAGGCAAATAATTCTTTGTTTAGAGGAAAGGGCAGTTTTATTCAGGGTAGGGTATTAAGCAGCATTCCTCTATTCACTAGATGTAACACCCCACCAATATATACACCCAACCGTTATGACAACCAGAAGTATTTCCAGACATTGTCAAATATCCTCTAGATGGGTGGCAAGGTGAGTTGAGGCAAAATTACTCCTGGCAAAGAACCACTGCTCTAAACAATACAAGGCTGGAGGAGTATGCTCAGTAGTAGAGTGCTTGATGAGCATGTGTGAGGCCCTGGGTTTGATCCCCAGTACCACTTAAAAAAAATGTTAAACTTAATCCATATTGACAAAATCTTCTGTTTCTGAAACAAAAATGGATCTTTAAATTTTATCTATAAATTTATTCAGATTCACCATTTTATTTCGATCTCTGCGACTTATCACTCTGATCAGAATGTTTCATTTGGCTTACCAAAAAAGACAACTTGAAAAGCTGACCAGAAGGCTGGTGAGTAAGCAAAACATGTTTATTTTGGGCTGGGGAAGTAGCTCAGTGGTAGAGTATTTGCCTAGCACGTGCAAGGCCCTAGGTTCAATCCTCAGTACCACACACATACACACACACACACACACACACACACACTTCTTTTGTGTTTATGAAAATATAAGGGTTATAGATATTTACATAATGTTTTATTTTTATGTTGATTTATATCTTACACATTGTAAAATTACTTTAAACTCCCAGGTTTCAGGAAACAGAAGGAGATACACAAAGGATGGATTTGACCTGGACCTCACTTACATTACTGGTTTGTGACTTTAACTGTTGATTTATTTATATTAATTTCTAATTGTTCTTATGAGTAATAATATTTTCTTTTGGTTTTGCCTTGTTGAAGTATTTTCTTTTAAATTATCCTTTACCCATGAAGACACATTCCCTGGTAATGGAAAAATTCATTCATTTCAAATCAGGTCTACTTGGTGGAATGGATTTTCAGCTGACTCTATTTGAGTTTGATTTAGAATTTATTGAGTTGTGATAGTCATCCTGGGTTCCAAAAGTCCCAGAGAGACTCCTTTTTTTCCTTGAACCCAAAAGAATGAGGTCACTGTTTTGTAGGTCTCAGGTTTTCTGAGTCAAGATGGATAGAAAGCACCTGGAGTTTCTATCATCACTGGATCCCAGACTTCCTGGTTTTTCTTTGGTGTTCAAGAAATAAATTCCAACTACAGGGGAAGCTCTAGACTGATGTCAATACAAATCTGTGGCATATGGCATACAGTCAGTTCAATAATAATTTTTTTGAATAACTAAATATATTATCTAAATTTATTAAATGACTAAATAAATTACATAAATATAATATAAAATATTGTACACTGAGAATGTGTTAGCTTTTTTTCTCTATCTTGAAAGTTCTTTTCTGTGAAAAGGGAGTCTGATTAAATGTAGATTAGATTTTTGTATATTGTTTCACATCTATAATGACATTCATAGTAGTGATTACTTTGACTTCCAGAGCGTATTATTGCCATGTCATTTCCATCTTCTGGAAAGCAGTCTTTCTATAGGAATCCAATTCAGGTAAGGATGTTAATATACAAATATTCACTTCTCGGTGAATATGGACAGTGAAGTCATAAACTTGATACTGACCCAGAGATGGTAATACTTTTCTAAAAGTTTGCTCTTTCAGGTAAAAAAAAAATCATAATGGGTTGATATCAATTTGATTTTATTATTTACAAACCATTCAAACATACTGGCTTATAACAACACCTTTTATTTCACTTATGACATGTGGTTTGTGAATTTGGATTGGGCTTAACTGGGTGGTTCTGATAATCAGGGACAGAACTGGCTATCTCATCTGGACTTGCTCATGCATCTGTGGATAGCTTTTGGGTCATCAGAGTACTGGCTAGTCTAAAATGCCTGGCTAGATGGTTCTACATAGTGTCTCTTCCCAAGGCAGACTAGGTCGATCTTGTTTACATGGTGGCAGAAGCAAAGGTCCAAGGGACAGCAAGCAAAAGAATGCAAAGCTTCTTATGACCCAGATTCTATACTAGTATAATGTGGCATCTACTTCATTCTATTGTCCGAAGCAAACTACAAAACCAGTCTGTATTCAAGGAGTAAAATAGGAGAAATTGCAAAGAATTATGGTCATTTTTCATTGTTTATCGGGAGAAGAAAGGGAAAGCTGTAACTAAAATGTATGCTTTTAGATTGCTATTGTAAATTAAATGGAGGAATAACATTTTGGGCTCTGTGGATGACTAAATTAATTTCAAACATATAGGGCTGTTTGCTATTGAAGAAATTCCAGCTGAAAGACATTAAGAAGTTAGCATTTATGTGTGTATTATTACATTTATTTTACCCCAATAAAAATGTAATTATATATCAGTATGTATGTATGCCTATATACAAATGCAATCATGTGTCTTTTAATGATAAGATATGTTGTATTGAGTGATCACATCATTGTGTGAGCATCATAGATACACCCTATTTCACCACATAATCATTGCAGATTTGCCAAATATTTGCAAAAAATATTAAGATTTTTTTAATCATGATGATTAATATTACTTAAAAATTATTTAAACTCTCTTTGATGCAAGATTAGAATGTATGAAATACTCATGAATATATGTTAAAACCAAACAGTCCAAGTTAACACATATCATTTCTTCATAAGAGTTTAGCTTTCATTTTCCTGGTCTGGGAAAAAAAAAAAGCTAACCATTAGTTGTTTTTGATTTGTGCTTTATAGTTGAAATATTACCTTGAGAAAATTTACCTTGGTTTTCTAAGCTATGGACTTGCAAAACTTAATCTTGTGTGTTGGAAGATTCAGTGCCAGCATCATTTATTTTCATATCTGGTGTGCAGTCCTTAGTGCTACTCATAAAAAAAAAATGTGTTTACCATTAGTACTATAGCACCCCAAAAAAACCACCCAAGTCAACTTTTGGAAGTATACTGAGGATAATTTCTAGGTTCAAGTCCCAGTGCATAAGAAGACAAATGTGCATCCATATGTGAATACGATGAACAGAATTATACCATGTGGTAATTATGCAATGAAAGGCTGTAAACTAATTTTATTGTTTATTTTTAAAATATTTAATTATTTATTCATTTTTTTAGTTCTAGGTGGACACAATACCTCTATTTTATTTTTATGTGGTGCTGAGGATCGAACTCAGTGCCTCATGCATGCTAGGTGAGTGCTCTACCATGGAGCCACAATCCAGCCCATAAACTAATTTTTAGACTGAAAAAAAAACCCAGTGAAATATAGTACTTAAATAAACTAAAACAGTTACAGGGACACTAGGGAACATAAGCTTATGAGACCACTGTTGGTCATTATGTGGCACATGACTATATACATAATTATACATATGCATATAAAATTTTATGTTTATTGAAGTATACTGTAAATTGCATTAACTGTGTACTTGATGAAATTATGTATAAGTATACATGCATGTAGCCAACACCCCTATAAAGGTATTGAAAATTTCTTGCCCCTTTCCAGACAATACTTCAAAACACCAGAAACAATTACTATTTTGACTTATCACAGATTAATTTTACTGTTCCTTGAATTTCATGTAAGTGGAATCATATAGTAGGTCTTTTGTAACTGGCTTTTAATCTTCAAAATAAATTCTGTCAGATTCATCTCATATTATTTTATAAACTGATGGCTGTTTTTTTAAAACAATGAAAACATTAAGATTTATTGCTTTATAGAACACTATAATTAAAATGCAAGCATGTGCACACAGAAAGCATATAATTATATACTGCTTGACAGTCACATTACATCCTGCAAAACACATTACATTCTACAAAATCCACTTTACATGAATTTAAAAATTCTAAATATCAAAAAGTACAAATGAAAAGAGAGGACTAACACTTCTCAAAAGAAGAAATACAAATATCCAAAAAAATATATGAAAAAGTATTCAGCATCATTAGCAGTTAGAGAAATGCAAATCAAAACTACATTCAGATTTCATCTCACTCCAGTCAGAATGGCAGTCATCAAGAGCAAACAATAATAAATGCTGGAGAGGATGTGAAGAAAAAGGAACCCTTACACTGGTAATGGGAGTAAATTAGTACAACAATTATGGAAATCAGTATGGAGGTTCCTCAAAAGATTAGGCATGGGACATCATATGATCCAGCTGTACCACTCCTCAATATTTATTCCAAAGGATTAAAGTCATCATGTTATAGTGACACATACAAATCTAGTTTTAGAGCAGCACAATTCACAGTAGCCAAACTATGAAACCACCATAGGTGTTCATCAACAGATAAATGGATCAAAAAATGTGGTATGTATACACGATGGAGTTTTATTCAGCCATAAAAAGAATGAGATTATATCATTTTCAGGAAAATGGATGGAACTTGAGAGCATTATGTTAAGTGAATAAGCCAAACTCAGAAGGTCAAGGGTCATATATTTTCTCTCATATGTGGAAGCTAGAGAGGAAAAAGAAAAGGAAAGGTGGGAGGGGGATGCAGGGGGGAATCTCATGAAAATCAAGGGAGATCAGTACAGTAGAGGAAAGGGAACAGAGGGAGGGAGGAAGAGAGTGAAAAGGGAAAATACTAGGGAATGATATTGGCCAAATTATATTGTGTGCATGTACAAATATGTAACAACAGATTCCACCATATGTACAACTATAATGCACCAATTAGAAAAGGGGGGAAAAAAGAAAGAGGTTTAAATTTGGGAGCCAGAAATTTTGACAGGGAAGTCATAGTTCACATAACTTTATAATATATGAAACTGAAAATATTGAGTTAGAGTAATCTATATTTAACAAATATAATACTGTCGAAGGAGCATGTTTAACAAATTTAATTCACTTCCCCAAACTGGCAGAATCATCTTATAGGTAAAGCATCCCTTGATTGCTAATAATGTTTTTTAGTATGTTGAATTAATTATTGTCAGTTAATTACAGTTTATCTAAATGGAGCCATTTTTTCTTTTTATAAATTTGGTGGTTAGTATTTTAGGGGTACTTAATAATATCTGGAATGTGTTTTTAAAAACCCAAGACCTAGTGGGCACAGTGGTGTACACCTGTAATCCCAGTGGCTCAGGAGGTTTAAGCAGGTGGATTGCACATTCAAAGCCAGCCTCAGAATCTTAGTGAGACCCTCAGCGATTTACCAAGACCCTATCTCAAAAAATAAGAAGGGCCTGGAATATATAGCTTAGTAGTTAAGTGCCCCTGGGTTCAATCCCCAGTACCAAATATTAAAAAGAAAAAATAAAACCCAGGACCATCATTTAGCATGTAAATCCAAATATAAACATTACTCTTGGCTTCTGGTCTCTAGATTATTGGTTTCTATCATTTTTTTTACTGCTACTTGCTTGGTATTGACAAATACCCTAATAAGTCATTGATCCCTTTACCATTTTTAATCAAAATATCCAAAGATGAATCACCTATTTTCATAAAATTCACAAATCATGAGCCACACAAAAAGCATAACTTGCCAGGCATAGTGAAAACACTTTTAATCCCAGATACTCAAGAGAATGAGGCAAGAGGATCACAAGTTTGATGCCAACCTCAGAACTTAGAAAGACCCCATTTTATAATAAAAAGGGCTGGGGATGTAGCAAGAGTTAGAGTACCTTTAAGTTCAATTCTGAGTACCAAAAAAAGAAAAAGAACAAAAAAGCATACCTAATGGCTGAACTAATAATTAGTCTTTCTTTTTTGCCAAGGCATAGGCTCAAATCTAAACTATTAGTTCAATTACCTGGGCAGACTGAGAACTAAGCTATGAAGCTACTTCAGTGACGGTATATTCAGTGGTAACAGGATATCCTACACAGTGAATGTCATATTATAGATAAGAACTATTTTAAATCAAGGTTGACTAAAGGGTGAAGAATTCAGATTTGAGCATACTTAACTCCCAGGATGATGTCCAGGAGTCATGTGATTCCACATGATTATACTTCAAAGAGATGACAGTTTTAGAATTATGGTTTGGGCAATGATGAGTATATAAAGCATGGATAAATTTTCACAAATGGGAAATTGGCTAGCAGAAAAATGTTTAAATGCTTCATCAAAGTAGCAAGAATTGTACAGATGTGGGACCCATAGAATTAATGGGGGAAAATATGATGGTGGACGCATCAACAAATTTGCCACTACTGCCACATCATACCAGTAAAGATGTGCCTTTGCTCCTACATCAAGAAATGTGCTACTCTGGGCAGAAAGAAGTGTTTGGCAGATTTAAGAAAACCCAAAGGTGCCAATAAAATATAAGATAGTGAAGGCATAGATAAATTCCTTGAGTCTTATGACCTGCCCAGATTGAGTCAGGAGGATATAGACAACCTAAACAGACCAATAACAATAGAGGAAATAGAAGAAACCATCAAAAGATTA